CACGGTGAGCCGCCCGGATAAGCTCAAAGGAGCGGAGCGTGCGGAGTTGACAAGCCTGGGGTTCAACGTTCCGCCACAAGAGCAGTTTTCCAATGTTGCTGTTGCACAGCAAGGGGGAGCCACCCCTCTGAAAGAGCTTGAAAATCCCAAAAACCCTAAAAATAGCATAATCCAAAACCCAAAAAAGCTTGAGAGTGAAGGCGTAGGTCCTGTTGCTGAAGGGCAGGCCGCCGCGTGTACCTGTAGTTGCTGTGAGCGCGACTGTGTTGTTTGCAGCAAGTTGTTTGTGAAGCTTGACGCCGTGTGCTTTGCTGGGGTGTCGCCAGAGGCAACCGTTGAGCGCGAGGTGTCTGCCGAGCCAGACCTGTCCATGAGCGTGCCTTGCTGTTGTGCGGTAGGGTGCGAGGAGTTCGAAGCACAGTTGTTTTTCGACAGTTTTCGGCCAACTAACCTTGAAGACACGCCAGACAGAGCGTGTGACGAGGAGGCCTATGAGCAAGAAGTTGAGCAGGCTCTGTTTTTAGAACCGCGCGAGCTTGAGGGTGATGCGTGGGCGCTTGAAGGGCTGCTTAACGAGCACAGTGTGGTGAGCAAGCTGATCGCCCATGGGCGACAAGAGTTCATCACAGCCTTTGAAGAGCATGGCCTAAAGGAGGCCTGTGAGGGCACCATCCTCTCTGAGCTGCTCGTGAAGCGTGAGGAGTTGGAGTGCGAGTTGCGTGCCTTGAGCTTGCGTGACGAAAGTGCGGTTGCTGTCTGCGTGTGTGAAGCATCCTTTCCGGAAACTCTTGATGAGAACGCGGTTCAAGAGGACACGCCGGAGCGGGTGTTGCAGACCAAGATCGTACCGAACTGGCAAGTTCTTCAAAACTTCGAGGTGTGGCGACCAGCAGTCGTCGCAGAGTTCCTGTCCCTAACTGAGGACAAAGAGGCGCTTGAGCCTGTGACCCAGGAGAGGCTGGACGAGTTGAGCGCGAAGGGTGTGAAGGTCACTGTCATTCCCTCAAAGCTTATCTGCAGTATCAAGGCCCCCAAAGGTAGGCTCAAAGCCCGCATAGTAGCTTGTGGTAACTTTCTTGGTACGTGCCTAGGAGAGTCAAAGGCCCAGCGGAAACATGACCTCTACTCTAGTGGAGTTGACCTGACTCACCTGCGCATGTTATTAGCGTATAGTTCACGTCGTGGAATGCCTGTCTGGTCAGTAGACATCAAGACTGCTTTCCTGAACTCAGAACTGTTACCTAGGAACCGTGAGGGCGCACAAGAAGCAGTAGCTCACGCTGGAACTGCTCACGCGGTCCGCCGGGACTCGCCGGAGAGCGAGAACCCAGCCGAGTACGTTGTCCTGAACCCTCCACGTATCCTAGTGTCCAAAGGAGTCGTGCCTGTAGGTACTTTCCTCGTAGTGAAAAAGGCAGTTTACGGTCTTGACCAAAGTCCAAGAGACTGGGGTTTCACTAGAGACGCTGAACTTCGTACCCTGAAAATTCCCTGGAAAAGCAAGCTTTTGAAGCTAGTGCAGTCTCTTGCTGACGAGTGCGTTTGGTTTGTTGTTGACGTTGAGACAGTTCTCGTTCAGGACCCAGACTTTCCTGTGCCTGCGCAGTCCCAGGAAGTGCTCGGGTGGATCGCTGTCTACGTTGACGATATTCTTGGGTCAGGTATAGAGGATTTAGGCGAGGGGGTCATTAGGGCAGTTTGTGAAAAGTGGGCGTGTTCTGACCCAGAGAAGGTTGGAAGTGACCCGTCGAATCCAGTTCGCTTTTTAGGCTTAGAGCTGTACTGGTCAAAGGAGGGCAGGTTGGTTGTAACTCAAACCGCTTACGCAAAGGACTTGCTGAGTAGGTACACCAACGAGTTTGTCGCTTCTGTGCAGCCTCTTCCGCAAGGACTGGAGGACCCTGTTGCCGTCCCTAACCCCAACGCCGAAAGCATTAGGAAGTGCCAACAAGTTGTAGGTGAACTGCTGTGGTTGTCGATTCGTACTAGGGTTGACCTTTGCTACGCCGTTTCCAAGCTTGCTCAGTGGAGCACAAAGGACCCTGAGTTCACGTTTAGGCAGGCCCTGCAGGTTCTAGGTTACTTGTCTGTGACGCCGTCGGTAGGTCTTGTTTTCGCAGGCCCTAAGGACAGAGATGAGTACAACCTTGTAGGAGCACAAGACTACACGCACGTGCTGCAGGCATACACAGATGCGTCGCACGCACCAGGAGGTGATAGGTCTCATGAGTGCACCGTGCTTCGCTGTGAAGGGTCTACTGTTGGCTGGGTCAGCACAAGGCAGCCGTTTTGCACGCAGTCTTCATGTGAAGCAGAACTTCTCTCCACTACTACTGGCAGTAACTACGCAGTTGCACATGTAGGACTTGCTCGTGAGATGTGGCAGCATGAACCAAGGGTGTTTGTGGCAAACGACAACCTGAGTGCTATCACAGTGATCAACAGCCCCACCGTTTCTTGGAGAACCCGTCACCTGAAAATTAGGGCTAGAGTCCTGAAAGAGAGGTCCGACATGAAATTGCTCGTTTTCGTGCATGTAGGCGGAGACAAGAATGGTGCTGATATAGGGACTAAGGCACTTGGCGAGGATCAAGACGTTGATGGCAGTGCTGGGAATGTCCGCGCAGGATCCGCCTGCCGAAACCACGAAGGCAAAATCCGTTCAGCACGTGAAGGATTGCCTAAGGGCAGTCATTTTGGCCTGTTGCCTGTGCAACGCCAGAGCCACTAAGGACCAGGACAGGACCCAGAGTAGTGAAGACTGGTCTCTTGTAGTGTTTGCTGTGCTAATCTCAATCACGTCCATTGCAGTTTGGGAAACATGTAAGGCTTGTTTGAGGGCAGTGTTTCGTCAAGCCGAGGATCTCCTCAGGCCGAGACTCCCAGCCCCAGAACCTGAAGAGCTTTTCATCCCTGAACAGCCCGAAGATGAGTATGAAGGCCCAGATCCTGATGAGGCCCCCGTTGCTCGTGTTAGGGATCCCGTTCCCGCAATGACCCCTGAAGAAGGCTTGAGGCGAAGGCCCCCGAGACCTGTAGCGCAGCAGGAGCCTGATGTAGAGCCTCAAGGCCGCCCTATCACATTTGCCTTTGCTGATGATGAGGTTCAGGTGTTTATGCCAGGCCCAGCAGACGCGCCAGCGAACCCGCCTGAGCCTATCCACAGAGACGTAGTCGCCCAGCCTAGAGGCCCATTGCAAGCAAGGCCCCTACGGCTCAATCATCCACCTGATCCGCCCTATATCCTCAGGGTCGGCTGGCCCGCCCCCACGCTGCAGCCAACTATGAGGGAAATGCGGCTGACGAGGACATCATGGGGTGGAGATCTATCCACACTTTTTCAGGCACCGCCGCCAGAGTTTCGACAGGACTTCTTTCAGTACGATGCAGAGAGACCAACTGTCTTAGTACGCTGGCACGCTGTCGTGAGAGTTCGTCGCTTCGACCCAGCGCAGACCAGGTTGCCCGTTCCTCTGGGAGCACTCACAGGCCGCAGGAGGACGCTAGCCATATATGCAGCTGGTGAGCGACAGTATTATGATGATAACTGGCGAAACCCAGAAGCTGCTCGCCGGTACCATGAACACGAGTGGCGTGGTCGCACTGAACTTGAGGTCGATGTGCGACGCCTTTACCCAACAGGGTAGATGAGTTCTTGCTTCATCCATGCCGGGGAAACACTCCAGGCCGGAGTGGAGCATTCGAAGCCCATTTCTTCAACGAAGCATTTTGCTTCTAAGAGGCTACGCTTGAGCCTGCCGGGAAAGCATCCCAGGCCGCAGGATCCAGTGAGAGCCCTCTTTGTCGTTATGGTGATGAAGCTCGTTTGCCTCCCATAGTACAGTTGGTGACGTGTCACCAAGGGGGAGCGCGGATGACTCAGCAGCTGGTTTGTGGCATGGGTTCAAGGTCTACAGCACAGGAGCCCTTGCCACCTGCAGGACTTATTTTTTCGATAGTAGTCAACATGTATAGCATACAACGAGAGAAGTCCACATGTATAGTGTACAGTACTACTGAAGATGTCATAGGACAAGAACTCAGATGTTGTTTGTTGTGTTGTTCCTGCTTGGTGGAAAAGAGAACCCTGCGTAACCCCGCTGTGGAGCTTCCTGCCCACACGAGACCCTAAACCCTAAACCCCAAACCCTAAACCCTAAACCCTAAACCCTAAACCCTAAACCCTACACCCCAAACCCCAAACCCCAAACCCTAATCCAGCCCAAGCCCGTGCCCAAGAAGGTCTCATGGAGCACTACTACCGTGTGGGAGACCTCAAGGCCCAATGGCTTTCAGGATGGAGGGTTTTGGGTTTAGGGTTTAGGGTTTAGGGCTTAGGGCTTAGGGTTTAGGGTTTAGGGTTACTCATCCACGAGGACGATTCATCCTAAGCCCTGAGCACCAAGCCCGAAACCCGAATAAAGTTCCATGCGTAAGCCTTGCTCCATGCTGTGTGCCGTTCGGGGCTTGCACGCCTTGGGACTGGCGTGCCCTGTGGAATTTGTGGGAACGGGATCTCGTCCATGGCACGATTGCGTGAGCTTTGTTAAACCAAAGCTGTTCTTTGGGTACCCCAGGTTTCAGTTCTAGAAACTTTATATTCTAACAAGAACCCAAAAGAGAGAAGAGACCCTCAACCCCAAACCCTGATTCGAACCGACCATGCGCGCTGTTTTCGCATTGGAACCGGCCATTTTAAGAATCCTCAGAGCACCCGATTAACGGTGAAGAAGAAGACCAAGCCACCTCGGGATGCAGGGGTTTAGGGTTTAGGGTTTAGGGTTTAGGGTTTAGGGTTTAGGGTTTAGGGTTTAGGGTTTAGGGTTTAGGGTTTAGGGTACGTTGCCCCATCACGGCCGAACCTATTGAATTAGAGAGCCTTGCGGTTTCACCGCACATCCTCTAGCTGAGTAGGGCGGTCGTGCAGCAGGGGATTCCGCAAGGCACTTGCCATGGTGGTACTGTGATTCCGCAGCTTCGCCCGACCAAAGGCGATCACCATGCTGGCGCTGTCACCAAAAGTGACCTTTCCCCGCGTGGCTCCGCCCAGGAACGGGCACCACGGCGTGCGTGGTGTGGTCTCTGGGCGCATTGCGCTCCAAGCCGAGGGCGATGGCGCGCCACCGCCTCAGCGCCCTCGCGTGCTGGCATGGGCGCTGAGCCTCTGGGCAGCCTCCACGACCCCGATCCGGAGCTGGTGGCAGCGTGCCCGCAGTGGGCGCCAGCGCAACCGCGGACGGCGCCAGCAGGATGGCGCGGTCGGCGTGGTGGGCGCGGCACCCACGAGGGCAGCAGGCGGCAAGGGCGGCCCGGCGCCAGGCGAGCCGCGGCGGCGCCGGTACCCGCCGCTCCCGGAAGCCCCCAGCGGCCTCGCGCCCTGCGAGCGGCGCGCCTGGCGCAAGGAGCAGCGCTTCGAGCAGATGAAGGCCAGGCGCAAGGCGGGTCGCCCGGAGGAGCGGCGCAGGGCGGCCAGGCGCAAGAAGGCGCAGAGGCAGCAGCTGCTGGCGAAGATGACCGAGGAAGAGAAGCGGAGTTACTGGTTTGAAGAGAGGCGGAAGCAAGTTGAGATAGAAACCAGCTTAGCAAAGGCCTTCGAGCAAGGCCGGCCACGAGTTGTGATCAACTGCAGCTTCGGGGACTACATGCAAGACCGGGAGAACCGGTCCTTGGCGCAGCAGGTGAAACTCCTCTACTCGGAGGTGAAGCGCACGCAGGCAAATGTGCAGCTGCACCTCACCTCCCTAGGGCCAGACAACCCGGCCAGCTCCTACTTCGACAGTCTGGGACTACCCGGCTGGAAGATGCATGTGCACGAGCAGAGCGTCTGGGAGCTGTCCGAGCTCTTCCCACCCGAGGACCTGGTGATCCTGACGCCGGATGCGGGCTCTTGCCTAGAGACTGTGGAGGAGGACAAGATCTACGTGACTCGAGCCCGGAGTAGGCCCCCTATTTCCTTTTTGAGAGTTGGGGGGTTCCCTTGTAATCCCCTTCATAACCCCCCAAAAAAAGGCAGACCCTCTTTATATTCCTGGGTTCCTCCGAATTCTAGGTGATTGGCGGCCTCGTCGACCGACGACCTCAGAAGCACAGGACCCTCAACCCTAAACCCTAACCCCTAAACCCTAAAACCCCAAACCCTAAACCCTAAACCATAAACCCTAATCTCTAAACCCTAAACCCTAAACCCTAAACCCTAAACCCTAAACCCTAAACCCTAAACCCTAAACCCTAAACCCTAAACCCTAAACCCTAAACCCTAAACTAAACCCACAGGACCTTCAACCAGGCCCAGGAGCGTGAAGTCGGCCCAAATCAGCTCCGGAGGCTTCCGCTCAAGGAGCACGCCCCGAAGGGCGTCCACTCACTTCTCAACATCGACGCCAAGAGGGGCTGGGCAGTTAACCTTTATAACCTTTTTGGCTATATATAAACATAAACAAATACATAAATAAATACATATAAATATACAAAAATAGAAAATATAAGTAAACAGATAAATAAATAAAAATTAAAAATATAAAATACATATATATATATATATAATCCTACTACAAATAAAGGGTTAAGCTTGTTTGGGCTAGGGTATTCAGCTCCTAAGGATGTGGTGGTCCAGATCCTCCTCGAACGGCTGCAGGGCGCAGGGTGGCCGCAGGTCTTCGATCGCTGCCTTCCCCGCCGAATCTACAGGGAGAGGAACTTACGCAGCCAAGAAAGAGCCGGCAGGGTTTAGGGTTTCCGGCCCTAACCCTAAGCCAACCCCGAACCCTAAACCCTAAACCCGAAAGCCTAAACCCTAAACCCTAAACCCTAAACCCTAAACCCCAAACCCCTAAACACTAAACTCTAAACCCGACACCCTAAACCCTAAACCTTGTAGGGTTTCGGGTTCCGAACTCCCAAGCCACCCTTTCAAGGGCTAAAGCCTAGCCAGACCCTATGCTGTAAGCCCTAAACCCGAAACCCAGTGGTTTAGGTTTCAGACTTCAGGGTTTCGGGTGTTGAGTTTCGGGTTTTACCCTTTCCCCTAAACCCTAAGCCTTATGCCCTATGCCCTATGCCCTACACCCTAAGCCCTAAACCCGAAACCCAAAACCCTAAGCCCTAAGCCCTAAACCCTAAACCCTAAACCCAAAGCAAACCTCTTCTGGAACCCTTCCCCCGCTTTGCGCACGCGCGCGCGGGGCGCGCGGGCAGGTCCTGTCTGGTATCGACGTCTCCACCGTGCAAGGCGACTCGATGCTGGATGCCCCGCCACCCAGAGGAGGAGGGCTTCCCATTTCTAGGTTTACGGTTTAGGGTTTAGGGTTTAGTTTAGGGTTCAGTCTAGGGTTTAGGGTTTAGGTGTCCTGTGATATGTTTTTGGGTCGGTTCGCGGGAATCATAGGGTTTAGGGTTTTGGGGTGTAACAGGGTAGTTGTTGAAGGGCCTAGCTTCAATTCCAACCGTTCAGGTTTGCTTGGGGTGCATATACGTCTTCTTTGAACTCGACCAAAGTCCCCA